GGACTAAAATCAACAATTATTTTAATATATTTAGTCTACACATTATTATATTTATTATTATTCTATTTATACATCTGCTTCAACCAGATATGAGCATTCAAAAGAAATCATGGGAAGTTTGTAGTTTAAAAACAGTAATTTGACCTTGCTAGCTAGAGGCTTCCTCTGTAGCTAAATGGTATAGCACGTGAGGCTATATGATGGTTCCATGTAGGATACAGCTTTGATTCTTGTCAGGGGGCGCATATTTTCTATGAAATTTCTCAGACATTCAGGCCAGTAAATGCTATTAATACTGTTTATTATAGACAGAGCATTTACTTAAATATTTGTATCTATAAAAATAACGTATAAACAGAAAATATATATATATGTGTGTGTGTGTGTGTGTGTGTGTGTGTGTGTGTGTACGGCCATAAATAACCCTTCACATTAGTTCTAAACAAAAGAAACTGAAATAAGCCTAATTTCTTCTCCCCCCCACTTCTCTTGCTCTCCCCATAACCCACATACCCAACACCTATGCATCCATACCATCTATATTTATAAACACTATCCCCTGTAAATATAGCAAATTTTAACAATATATGTGCGGCGTGTGTGCATGAGATTCTGTCTGTTAGGCTTTATCTTTTCTTACTTCATCATCATACTATCTCTCAAAATCACATTCAGCCTCGCCTCTTCCATCTTTGTACCCCTCACCTCTAAATCTCCTATAGCCCAATCCCTATTTACCCCCCATCTCCCCGCACTGCACACCACTTATTCTTCGGATTTTATCTCCTCTCAAATGTTGACGAAATTCACTTTAATTACACATCAAGCACCTCAATGCATTGTCACCAGATAATCTTAGCTTTTCCAATATCGCACTCGTACATGTGCCATTTGAAGCTGCTTCATCATCATAAAATCTAATGTCACTTGATTGGAAAATGCGGGGAGGGACAGCTCAGTCAAATGCCATACCATGGAGAGGTAAGGGCAGTTTAAATTCTTCATTCCTGCCTAGAGGTGAACTTTGACTATTTCGTTCAATGATAAACCAAACACCCTCCTCAAGTCAATAAGTAAAATAGGAAATTCTTACTGCCAGACATCTTAGCAGCACATCAATACAAGCAAGAGAGCACATCTATTTATCATGAAGCTTATATAAAATTTCAGTGTTAATTCATTTATGCATACAGAAAAATAATCAATAATATGTATATATATATATATATATATATATATATATAATATGCCAAAAAATATAGTTTTACAGTATGCTATATTTATGAGTAAAATTACTGAATATCAGAGATAGAGCATATGTAAATATAAAAGTGGAAACTGAGGTTAACACCAAGAGGCGACAGTCTGTTTCAGTCTTCAATACAATCTTCGGGCCATGACTTCTGCTGCTTGGTGTTGTTCTCAGTGTCCACTTTTATAGTTATTAATGTATATTTGGGCAGCAACCTTTCTTTTAAACATCTTTTGCTTAATCTGATGGACAAGGAAAATTTATTAATTTTCTGTTTAGTTGTTCTAGCATTCTTACATTTGGTGGGAGTATAAAAACTGTCCATATCGTCCATTGTCCCAAGCACTTTCAGCCGCTTTCTTAGCCATTTTCATGGGGGTTTTGTTTTCCTGTCATTTTTTTTGTTCTGACTGTGTGAAATGTATTATTTGTGTGGTTTTTGATACTAGTAGGAGTGTTTATTCTGAACCTTCACATGTTGTGCATGACTGGAATTAGAGTGAGTGATTGCTCCCATTGTTAAACAAGGTGAGGTTGATGGTGGAAGAGAATTGGTGATATACATGATCTCTCCTGTAAGACGTTTTCAGTAATTTTCTCTTGTGAGATGTTTTCAGTAATTTGATTTACATAGAACTCTAGTGCTCTCAACCAGAATTTTTCTTAAGGGTTCTTGTAGATTGTGGGCTGATAAATATTTTTTACAAGCAGCAGAGCCCGGTGTTGCCCGGGGATGTAACAGTAAGAGATAGATCAAGTATCAACCATCATAAAGACTGAAAAATAAAATTGACAAAGATTATTGTTTAAGGTTGATGGACATGCATGTCTTAATTAGTTTTTTTTTGTTTTGTTTTTTTTTTTACGAATTGGTCAAACCCAAACTCAAACAAAAACATTGTTTTCAATCGTTATGAGTCTACTGATTGAATAGAATTTTATTATAAACAATTGTCTTGTAAATGGAATTTTTAGAGCATTCTGAATGTAAAAATAAAGAAAAAAGTGTGCAAGACAATAAGAAACACTACCTGCCAAAAAAAGTGAAGTTTTGTTGAAATCGGTTGAAAAATGTAGGAAATCCGATCCCATATATAAATGAACACACACACACACACAAACAACCAACCTGGGTTTTATAATAAGTATAACTCGATATGAGTTGTCCCCCTTTCATTCTTGCGATGCATCTTAATTGTGTTTTCAAATTGATTTCATGCAAAAGCAATTGTGTTTTTCCAATTTTTGGCGCTGTCAGAACCACCGCAAGGTAATTTTATGCAGTCCTGTGAAGTTTTGTTGAGATCAATTGAAAAATGTAGGAAATCCGATCCAATATATAAACGTACAGACACACACACACAACCTGGGTTTTATAATAAGTATGATCACACTCTACTCTGATAAGTGACATGAGAGGTTTCTACTCAAGCAGGTGGTTCTTTTATATTTATATGTATATATATTTATATAATCAATAAGATAGTCATCCACATACAAGCCTGTTTCACTGTATCACAGCTCATCAGTGTGCTAGACATCTGATTCAAGTTTGGGATTGAAACCCAACCAATTTGGCATCAGTCAGAGATCCTACTCCTAAGCTATCGGCACATGGCAGAGAAAGGGTAATTTTAACATATGGATGTGTACAAATGCCAGCAGCCAGAAAGCTCAATTCATTAATGAATATTATTAATCAATAAGATATATATATATATATATATATATATATTGTCATCCACAGACAGACTGTTTCATTGTATCACAGATCTTCAGTGGGGCTAGACGTTCAATTGCTTCAAGCTGGGATCGAAACCCAACTGATCTGGTATCAGTCAGAGATCCTACCCCAAGGCTATCATTACACAGCAGAGAGAAAGGGAAATTTTAATCTTTTTCTATACAAAATATATATATCTATCATTTATTATACAATATATATATATATATATATATATATATATATGTATGTGTAAGTTCTAAGCTAATAGTTTCTTTTGCACTTCTCACTTATGGATATTTCTTCTCTGGCTTCTTGATTTTCACTCAACTTTGATCTTCAAAAATTTAAATGCAATGCCAATGATAATCTTCTGTCTACTTAATTCCTGTTCTTTTATTTTTCTCACTTCTTAATAATGCTTTTCTTTTATTATATTACACTCCCTAACCCCTGCATCTTAGTCCCTTTCTTGCTTTGCTTGAGGTGAAATGATTAAAAATAAAGAAGTTGAAGCAAAAAAGCTTTCTATTGAAAAAAAAGTGAATTATAAATGGAATAAGCTAATACTGATATATAAATATGAGTGCTTCATAGAAGAAATTCATATTTTTCGAAATGGAAGAAAATTAACATATTAATTCCCATTGTCCAATTTTGTGGGGTAATGGATTTTAATGAGTTATAGTTAGAAATCAAAAACTAATACTAAAATAATAGTAAGAAGCAAGGTCATAAAAAATTTTAAAAAATTGTGTGTACCAGATTAGATATGCAAAAATCAAACATTTGACAAATAAAAAGAATCAAACACACTAAAAATGATGCCTGGACCAGTGAATATTTTAAAACATTAAAACTGATGCCTGGACCGATGAATATTTTAAAACAATAAAAATGATACTTGGACCAATGAATATTTTAAAACAATAAAAATGATGCCTGGACCAATGAATATTTTAAAACACTAAAACTGAAGTGTGGATAATGAGAGTCTTAAATACAAAAAAATTGAAGGTTGGGCCAATAAAAATTTAAAAAAAAAAAAAGCTTGGACCAATAAAAATTTTAAATAATAAAAATGAAGCTTGGATTAATAAAAATTTTAAACAGAATAAATATGAAGCCTGGGCTCACAAAAAAATTAAATAATAAAAATGAAGCTTGGACCAATGAAAATCTTAAACATAAAAATAAAGCTTGGACTAAGAAAAAATTAAGCACAATAAAAATGACACATGAACTAATAAAGATTTAAAATAATAAAAAAAGAAGCTTGGACCAATAAATATTTTAAACACAAGAAAAATGAAGCCTGGATAAACAGAAGCAATAAAACTTAGCACAATAAAACAAAACTTGGACCAATAAAAATTTTAAAAACAATAAAAATAAAGCTTGGACTAATAAAATTTTTAAACATAATAAAAATGAAGATAATGGTAACAAAACAACTTAATATTAAGAATGACTCCTCTCAAAATTTCAAATATGTCATCATCTGTTTAAAAGGAATGATCAAATATTTTCTCAAGTGACCATCCTTCAAGTTCTGTCTTACAATTTATTCAGCATTCTTCATTTCAGTTTTCAATCTATAAATTTTTGACAATTTGCAAATGGCTGCTAATTTCCCATAATAGTGTTATATGCTTTCCTTGCATGGAAACTAAATTAGTTAATTAATTGAATTAATATGAGGAAATATTTAATGGTACAATATATCAAAAAATCTATGACACCAATGGGATATTAGATCGTGTCTTTGGTGTGCACTGACATTGTAGAACATATAAGCTGATCATTAAACTGAATGATTTCTTTTTTAACACTTAGTCATCATTGCTCGCAAAGTTTCATTCAAAAGACACCTTTAGACATGGATAGAGATTTAATTAACGTGACAGAATATGATGACATCTTGGGAAATTCTCAAATCTCATTAGCAGAGACACGAGTTGTAATCTTACTGAATTAAAAAGAAAATTAGAAATGGGCTGAAATTTTATTGAGTTATGAAGAGACATGACATTTGATGATACCCTTCTGTCTTATATAGTCATTTTTGCTTTTCTTACTTAGAAAGAAAGAAAGAAAAAAAGAAAGAAAGAAGCATGTGTCAAATCTTGGAGGGAGGGTGAATTAGATTGTCATCTCTTCATCATCCCTCCTTCTTTTTCTTTATTAACAAAAAAAATCATGGAAGACTATTTCCCACACTAAACAAGACCTCCTTGTAAGTATTAAATCATTGATAAGATGATATAAAGAAAAGAGAGATATTTTGTAGATATTATGTAGTTAACATTATGTTGATATTAATGGCTGACTACTCGCTTCTGAACACAACAGTCTGCTATAGTGAATAGAAAATCCCTGTTTGTAGATGCCTGTTCAGGTACATTTGTGTTTGTTCAACACCCACAAAACTTGCCTATGGTTCAGAAATTATTCTCAAATATTCAGGCTAGCAAATGAAAATAAATGTATTGATTAAAAATTAAATGGAGCATCTACTTGAATATAAGTATCCACTAAAAATAACATTTAAAGTGATAAAATTTATTGGATTAATAAATAAAAATAAATTTCTTCCTTAGAAAATTGCTGTGTTTATGTATGGATATGAAAAGGAATCTATGACGAGAAGGATTTCACTTAAAGGCACTGTTCAAACCTTACTCAATTGGCAAAGCTTCTTCATGGCTGAGTTGGTTAAGGCACACTAGATCTAATGATGCTTTCCCTCTGCCGATTTTCTCAAATATTCAGGTGTAATGAAAGAGATGGTCATAAAATATATCACTTTTTCCGAAAATAGAATACACGAGGACCTGAAGAAAATCAACATGGTCTGACGAGGTAAAAGCGCCGTTTTCTTAAAATTATAAGATTTTTGCTGACTAGCTATTTAAAAATTTACTTTGTCTCTATTTGAGATGGCGGAAAGACCGTTCGATATAAAACTAATCCTGGAAAAAATTTTGTGTTTTGGATGCGATCTGCCAAGAAACATTACCAAAAAGTAGTCAACAAAAAAACAGCCGAGCGAAGAAAACAGCGAAAAGGTCAAACCAAGTGACAGCGATTTCTTTTCTTCTCTGTTTTCTTACCGTGATGGCTTTCATGACCATCTTGACTACATCAGGCCAGTAGATGGAAATAAATAAATGTACTGTTTAAAAAGATAAATGGAGCATCTACTCAAATATGAGTATCCACTAAAAATAACATTTAAAATGATAAAATCTGTTGGATTGCTAAATAAAAAACACAGTGACAAGAAGGATTTTGCTTAAAGGCACTGTTCAGACTTTGCATGATTGGCAAAGCTTCTTCATGGTCAAGTTTTATCTAATAACAGTTTCCTTCTACCCAGGAGGCTACAGGTTCAAATCCTGCTGGAGAGCACATATTTTTCTTAAATAAAATTTCTCAAATATTCAGAAGGATTTCCACTTATAAGAAATTATTTGGTCCTGCTTGATAAATAAATTTAAATATAATATATTTCAAAATATGACTACATTTCAGTGGCAACTCTAGGTCATCAGTGTTTGATGGGCTCATTACACTCATTAACAAAATATACTGCTACTATAACTTAGATGTTGAAATGTTTCCTTTTTACTTTAAAATATATAATTTATTAAAATCTTTGTGCTTAAAATTAAAAAAAAAGAAAAAAACACCTTTTGATATTTTAATATTAACTGTAATAATTCTATAAAAATAAACATTTATTTTAAAAAAAATTTCCAGAAGTCTTTGATAGGTTTGTCTGTTTATTTCCCACTTTCCATTTTATATTGTTTTATAGCCTGGTAATCACGTCATTGATGGTAGAGTGTGTGTTTGCATATATGTCTATACATTACTGCTGACTGATATTATATTTCCTCAACACTACATCAGTCACACTCCTCACCCCAACCCTCCAGTCGATGAGTTATGGCTGCCATTTTCTTTGATTTTCACTGAATTTAAGTTGGGTTAAATTTAATTTGCCCTTTTTTCAATTGATACATTCTGTTAAAAATCCTTATACTGTACAGAATAAATTATTTAAAACAGACATTTGAAAACAATAAGTTGAAATAAAAATATGTTCTTTGAAAAACAGGGATTAGAGATTTAAAAAATCATTGCCTATTAAATATGTCTCCAGCTTTGATAGGGATCAGATGTACACAGCCCGACAAGCCACATTAATTTTATTTCATTCTCTTTTTTTTACTTAATTTCTTTCTTTATTCTTTATTGTTTATCAACAAAATGTATTTTGGTCTATATTTTGAGGTACAAAGTTAAAACAACTAATTTTGGATCCAGCTAAAGTCAAGAATGAAAATGAGGCACTATGAAATATTTTTGTTGCTTTGAAATAGATAGACTTGAATGTTGACTCACTTGGGTTCAGCCTGACAAGCCCGACCCCAGAGTTGCTACTGCTATATTTCTAATCCATGTATCTCTGTTGATATTCTTTCTCTTATATTAAATGTCACTAAAAATTAGGGACCAGACTCACAACATAAAACATTTTATTCAAAATAATAATAATAATAGTTAGATGCACGTTTCTGAATGCACCCATCTGCTAGGATGGCTAGCTAATTATCTGTTTGAGCCCATTTTGTTTTATCAACACCCACAGAGCCAACCTGTGGTTTATGCAGCAACTTTGCTAAGCAGACCTTAGACTTTACCAAAAAGCACTTCATCTGCGTATTTCTGAAAGATCATATTTTTAAGGGAAGCAATCTTTGTAATTATAGTGCATGACAACATGAAGAGCATTAATAATACTAAATGTTCAATTGCAAAATTACAGTTTTACAGTAAAGTCTCCTGAAGAGTGGTTGTAAATCTGCAAAAGTAGAGACAAGATACAATACTATTTAATTTTTTATATATATATATATATATATATATATATATATATATATATATATATATATACACACAAGTATATAATTGGTATATACGGAATGAATTCCAATAACCAACAATTACTATTCTTAAAAGAGTGCTCAATACAAAGTAGAGCAGATATAATTATTTTTATAAAAAATTAGAACATAAATATATATAAAATCACTACAAAAATAGCCATTTTGTTTCAACACACTTCAAAATCACTTGATCAGACACAGATGTGTTGAAACAAAATGGCTATTTTTTAGTGATTTTATAACATACTTATGTTATAATTTTTTTATAAAAATAATTATATATATATATATATATATATATATATATATTTTTTGTGTTTATACATTGTTTTTATAGATACAAATATTTAAGTAAATGCTCTGTTTTTATAATAAACAGTATTAAACAACATTTACTGGCCTGAATGTCCGAGAAATTTTCATAGTAAATTTTTGTCCTCCGACAGGAATTCAAGCTGTATCCTATATGGAACTGTCATATAGCCTGACGTGCCTTTAACCGTTTCAGCCACAGAGGAGTGTTTGATTAGCATTTACTTAAATATTTGTATCTATAAAAAGGATGTATAAACATAAAAATGCCTTAAAATAATTGTCGGACTTTGTCCATTTCATAATACATACACACACACACATATAGATATATATATATATATATATCTGTGTGTCTATGTATGTATGTATGTATGTATGTAATCTGATAGCATGTACAAAATTTTATAAAAGCTTGAAACAGGCATTTTAAAAGAATATATAAATCTATACAAAAATATACAAAACAAAACCAAAAATAACACGAAAATAAAAATAACAAAAAATATAACAAAAAGGAAATAACAAAAGAAGGCTCACTGGTCATTGCTCCTTGCTCTTCAGAGTAAATCGAGGACAAAAAATATATGCACTATCATTAAAAAAAGGGGGAAAAAATTAGTAATAAGAGGAGTAGGAAAATATGAAGGAGGAGGAGGAGCAGGAGAAGCTGAAGAAGGAGGAGAAGCTGAAGAAGGAGGAGTAGCAGGAGAAGCTGGAGAAGGAGGAGGAGCAGGAGAAGCTGAAGAAGGAGGAGGAGCAGGAGAAGCTGGAGAAGGAGGAGGAGCAGGAGAAGCTGGAGAAGGAGGAGGAGGAGAAACTGGAGGAGGAGAAGAAGAAAAAGAAGAAGCTGGAGAAGAAGGGTTGAAGACAAAGAATATGAATCACAGCATCAGTTCCCAGAAGGCAAACGTGCACAGGGTAACGTGAATGCCAATATCAGGATTGGCAAAATATTAGTGGAATCATTAAGATCTATATTGCCTATTTCAGCTGAATTTAGCAAACTTACCACCTCAGCCCCTGACAATTCTTCCGACATTTCTCTTCTTTATAAATACTCTTCTTATCACATGGGATTGGTGCAAATTGTAGAATTGAAGCCTGGCAACTGAAAGGGTTGGAATTTGAGTTGGAGTGTCTGATTAAAGAGGCTCTATCAAACTCTTTTCACAGATGGAAATTTTAAAGTTTAATCTACTTTTACGAATTCAGATTGTTTCTCCTAAAATTTTAAATGCTTATCCAACTTTAATAGCTCTTTTAATTTCTTTTCTCTTTTTTTTCTCTATCAATTCCTGTTTCTCTAACTTGGCCTTTCTCCAGATAGCCTCTTTTATAACCATTTCATAATAAAAATCAAAAATCTTGTCTGTTGCATTTTACATTACGAATTGAATTAATTTCCTCTTTCTTTCTTTTGTGACATCACAACTTTATTCTCTCTCTTCCTTCTAGACATTTTACTTTTTCTTTCTTCCCACTCATTTCCATTGCTTTTCTTGTCATTTCTTTTGCCTCTCTTTCTTTGCTTTCATTTACCTGCCATTCTTCCTTCTCATTTTCCTCTTTCTTCTCTCTCATATCTTTTGCCTGTCTTTCTTCCTCCTCATTTCTTTTAAAAAAAGGATCTTTCTTCCTTCTTACCTTCTCATTTGCCTCTTTCTTCTCTCTCATATCTTTTGCCTGTCTTTCTTCCCTCTCATTTCTTTTACCTTTCTACCTTCTCATTTCATTTGCCTCTCTTCCTTCTCTCTCATTTGCCATTCTTTGTTCCTTCTCATTTCAGTTGCCTCTCTTTCCTCCCTTTTATTTCAGTTGGCTTTCTTTCTTCCTTCTCATTTCATTTGCCTCTCTTCCTTCCCTCTCATTTCATTTGTCTTTCTTTCTCTCTCATTTGCCATTCTTTCCTCCCTTTTATTTCAGTTGCCTTTCTTTCTTCCTTCTCATTTCATTTGCCTCTCTTCCTTCCCTCACATTTCATTTGTCTTTCTTTCTTCTCTCTCATTTGCCATTCTTTCTTCCTTCTCATTTCAGTTGCCTCTCTTTCCTCCCTTTTATTTCAGTTGCCTCTCTTTCCTCTTATTTCTTTTGCCTTTCTTTCTTTCTTCCTTCTCATTTGCTATTCTTTCTTCTCTCATTCTTTTTATCCTTCTCATTTGCCATTCATCATCCTTCTCATTTTATTTGCCTCTCTTTCTCCCCTCTCATTTCATTTGCCTTTCTTTATTCCCCCTCATTTCTTTGCCTTTTTTCTTCCCACTCATTTCTTTTCCTTTCTTCTTCTTCTTCATTTCTTTCACCTTTCTTTACCCCCCTCTCATTTTCTTTGCCTTTCTTTTTTGTTCTTAATTTCCATCCCTATAGATGTAAATTATTTCTTTCTTTTATTTCTTTTGCAAGTTTCTTTCTTTCCCTCTTTTTTCTTTTATTCCTCTTTTCTTTTTGCTGCTATTCACCTTTTCTTTTTCTTTTCTTATATTTATCTTTCCTTCTTTCTTTTATTCCTCTTTCTTTGTTTCTTTCTTTCATTCCTTATTACTTTTATTACCATTTTTCTTTCCTTCATTTCTTTCTTTCCTTTTATTTCTTTCTTTGCTCCTTTCCTTTTCATTCTCCTTCTCTCCTTTTCTTTCTTTCCATCTTTTATTTCTTTCTTTCATTCTTTTGTTACTTCTTTTATTTCTCTGTCTTTCCCTTATTACTCATTTTCTTTCTTTGTCTTTCTTTGTTTGTTTCTTTCTTTTGCCTATAA